GTCTGATGCCTTTGCCAGGCCTCCAAACATAGAAAAGCTGCAGGGTTCTATGAAAAATGAAGCCTTTGTGTCAAAAATAGACCTGCAAAGAGAAAATTAAAAGCTGTTTCCTGAAGCTGGGCAAAGGGGAGCTATCCTGGAAAGGAAAATACCTGGAAAGCCAGTTCGAATTTTGAAGGGCCATGCTAACAAGTGATGACAACCCAGGAGCCTCCTCTCAGAGGCCCCATAAAATTTCACAGGACTCATTTGCCTCCAGTCTTCTCGAATCTCACACTGCAGAACTTCTGGAATGCTTGAAAGTGAGTTTCTACAGAAAAGGAAAAATCAAGTGACTTTCAGGTGCTTAACTGGTTAGGAACAACAAAGGTACATGCTTGGAAAAGAAAACAAATAAAAATAAAACGGAAAGCCCTAAACAGGAATCGCTAGAAAGCAACTCTTTCTAACTGATAATAGCAGCCTGCTGTAAGGGCATTCCTAAAAGTAAAATGTTCATTTCCTCCACAAGAGAAAGAGAGAGAGAGAGAGTCTATCTGTGTGTGTGTCTCTGTATATGTCTGTGTCAGAGAGACAGAGACAGAATGAGGTGGAAGAGGCCAAGACTAGAGAGAATAAGTGAATAGTCCCTTTCTCTGACCAGACCTCTCATGTGGCCAAAAACTAAATAGGTGCATAATCAGCACACTCTTGACCTATCCTTGCATATATACTTACGCTAGTATCTCAAGAGTCCAAGTCCCTAGATCACAGTCACTTGGTAGCAGGGGGCTCTTGTTAAAAATGCCCATTCTTGGCTGGGCGCAGTGGCTCATCCCTGTAATTCCAGCACTTTGGGAGGCCAAGGCAGACAGATCTCCTGAGGCCAGGAGTTCGAGACCAGTCTGGATAACGTGATGAAATCCTGTCTCTACTAAAAATACAAAAATTAACTGGGTGTGATGGTACACGCCTGTAATCCCAGCTACTTGGGAGGCTGAGGTAGGAGAATTATTTGAACCCAAGAGGCAGAGGTTGCAGTGAACCAAGATCGTACCACTGCACTCCAGCCTAGGAGACAGAGCAAGACACCATCTCAAAAAAAAAAAAAAAAAAAAGCCCATTCTTGGCTGGGCTTGGTGGCTCATGCCTGTAATCCCAGCACTTCGGGAGGCTGAGGTGGGTAAATCATTTGAGGCCAGGAGTTCAAGACTATACTGGCTAACTTGGTGAAACCTCATCTCTACTAAAAATAAAAAATAAAAAAATGAACCATGGTTGCAGGCACCTATGATCCCAGCTACTCGGGAGGCTGAGGTACGAGAATCATTTGAACCCAGGAGACGAAGGTTGCTGTTAGCCAAGATCATGCCACTACACTCCAGCCTGAGCAACAGAGCAAGACTCTGTCTCAAAAAAAAAAAAAAAAAAAAATTATTGGGTCCGAGACCCCTAGAGTATAAGTCAGTGTGTCTGAAATAGAGCCCAGAAATCACCATGTGATTCTTATGCACATTAAAGCTCGAAGACCATTACCATTTCTTTTCTTTCCTTTCTTTCCTTTCCTTTCTTTTCTTTTTCTCCCTCCCTCCCTCCCTCCCTCCCTCCCTCCCTCTCTCTCTCTCTCTCTCTCTCTCTCTCTCTCTCTCTCTTCTTTCTTTTCAAACAACGGTTTACTTTCACCCAGGCTGGAGTGAAATGGCACAATCTTGCCTCACGGCAGCCTCCACCTCCTAGGCTCGAGTAGCTGAAACCACAGGTGTGTGCTACCATATCCGGCTAATATTTTTATTTTTGGTAGAGAAAAGGTCTCACTTTGTTGTCCAGGCTAGTTTTGAACTCCTGGGCTCAAGTAATCCTGTCTCAGCTTCCTAAAGTGATGGGATTACAGGTATAAGCCATTGAGCCTGGCAGAATATCATTAAACAAACATAGTTTATTAATCGTTTGTTAATGGTTTGCTCAATAGTTCAGCTTGATTACAGGTCAGCAAATTAAACTCTGTATTTTCACTGGTGTGTTTTAATTACATTTGTCTCAAGAAAAGCAACTATGAGTTGGTAGGGAAAAAAAAATCCGCTGGATGGTTGAGAATCTAAATCCATACATTTCTGAGATTGATAGCAATATGTAGCAAAATTATTCTAAATGCTTTGACTCAGATTTTCCACTCCCATCCATGAATCTTAAGGAAATAATGAATGACCCAAGATACAAGAAAGTATATTTTGCTATTGTTCATAATTTTGAAAAATTGGAAATCATCTAAATGCTTAACAAAAGGAGATTAGTTAAATTAGTTAAAATAGTGCCATACAATAGATTCAGATATGAATTCATTGGCATGGGCACATGTTTAAGCTCAGTATAACTGTTCAGGAGACAAAGATTATAAAACTATGTCATATATTAATTTTTGTAAAAAGAAATTTAAAACAGGCTGGGCATGGTGGCTCACACCTGTAATCCCAATACTTAGGGAGGCCAAGACGGGCGGATCACTTGAGGCCAGGAGTTCAGGACCAGCCTGGCCAACATGGTAAAACCTTGTCTCTACTAAAAATACAAAAATTAGACCCGTTAGACAGTGACTAACGCCTATAATCCTAACACTTTGGGAGGCCGAGACAGGTGGATCACAAGATCAAGAGATCGAGACCATCCTGCTAACATGGTGAAACCCTGTCTCTAATAAAAATACAAAATTTAGCTGGGCATGGTGGGGCGCCCCTGTAGTCCCAGCTACTTGGGAGGCTGAGGCAGGAGAATCGCTTGAACCTGGGAGGCAGAGATTGCAGTGAGCCAAGATCACGTCAGTGCACTCCAGCCTAGCGACAGAGTGAGAGTCTGTTAAAAAAAAAATACAAAATACAAAAATTAGCTGGATATGGGAGCATGCACCTGTAGTCCCAGCTACTCCAGAGGCTGAGGCAGAAGAAACACCTGTGCCAGCGAGACTCCATCTCAAAAATAAAAATAAAACCAAAAATTTTAAAGAATAATATACAGGCCGGGCACGGTGGCTCATGCCTGTAATCCCAGCACTTTGGGAGGCCGAGGCAGGTGCATCACGAGGTCAAGAGATTGAGACCATCCTGGTCAACATGGTGAAACCCCATCTCTACTAAAAATACAAAAATTAGCTGGGCATGGTGGCGCATGCCTGTAATCCCAGCTTCTCAGGAGGCTGAGGCAGGAGAATTGCCTGAAGCAGGAGGCGGAGGTTGCAGTGAGCCGAGATCCGCCATTGCACTCCAGCCTGGGTAACAAGAGCGAAACTCCGTCTCAAAAAAAAAAAAAAAAATATATATATATATATATACAAAACGTTAACAATACCTATCCCTATGTGGTGGGGTCACATTTTTCTTCTTAGTAATTTGTTTAAATTGTTTTAAAATTATATACATATATTATTATTTTAGAGACAGGGTCTCATTCTGTCACTAAGGCTGGAGTGCGTGGCATGATCATGGCTCAGTATAACCTCAAACACCCAGGCTCAAGAGATCCTCCCATCTCAACCTCCTGAGTAGCTAGGATTCCAGGGGCAGACCACCATGCCTGGCTACATTTTTTGTTTGTTTTAAGCAGATATATGGTCTCACTGTTTCCCAGGCTTATTTTTATAATCAGAAAAAGCAACTGGACTATAACCATTTTGAATAAAAGGAGCAGATCACTGAATTCCATGTTTAAAAATTGGGTTAAAGTCCCAGATCTACTGCTTTGAGCTTCACTTTTCTTTTCTCTGAAATGGAGATGATAATATATATATATCCTGTCTACCTCTGAGAGTAGTCGTGAGATAAAGTCTGGAAATATTTTGCAAACTATAAAATGTTTTATAAAGACATTGTATTATTAAATTTTTATTTTCACATCAGAGACCCAAATTCATTCAATACCTAAATGTGCAAATATGTCATTAAAGCATAATGCTAGACCTTTTTAAAAAAAGAGTTATAGCCAGGCGCGGTGGCTCAAGCCTGTAATCCCAGCACTTTGGGAGGCCGAGGCAGGTGGATCACGAGGTCAAGAGATCGAGACCATCCTGGTCAACATGGTGAAACCCCGTCTCTACTCAAAATACAAAAAATTAGCTGGGCACGGTGGCGTGTGCCTGTAATCCCAGCTACTCGGGAGGCTGAGGCAGGAGAATTGCCTGAACCCAGGAGGCGGAGGTTGCGTTGAGCCGAGATCGCGCCATTGCACTCCAGCCTGGGTAACAAGAGCGAAACTCCGTCTCAAAAAAAAAAAAAAAAAAAAAAAAAAGTTATATTTTTTATTATGGAAATGTTTTAAAATTTATTTATTTATTTTTTTGTGACAAGAGTTTTGCTCTTGTTGCCCAGGCTGGAGTGCGGTGGCTGATCTCGGCTCACTGCAATCTCCACCTCCCAGTTTCAAGCGATTCTCCTGCCTCAACCTCCCTAATAGCTGGGACTATAAGAGCACACCACCACACCCAGCTAATTTTTGTATTTTTAGTAGAGATGGGGTTTTGCCACCATGTTGGTCAGGCTGGTCTTTAACTCCTGACCTCAGGTAATCCACCAGCGTCAAAGTGCTAGGATTACAGGCATGAGTCACTACGCCCAGCCAGAAAATTTTAAACATATGAAAAAGTAGACACAGTGCAGTGGCTCATGCCTGTAATCCTAACGTTTTGGGAGGGCCAGGTGGGAGGATTGCTTGAAGCCAGGAACTTGAGACCTACCTGGGCAGCATAGAGACACCCTGGCTCTCTCTCTCTCTCTCTCCTTTTTTTTTTTTTTGAGAGTCTCCCTCTGTTGACCAGGATGGAATATAGTAGCATAGCACACTGCAACCTCCACTTCCTGGGTTCAAGTGATTCTCCTGCCTCAGCCTCCCAAGTAACTGAGATTAGAGGTGTGCACCACCACACCCAGCTGATTTTTGTATTTTTAATAGAGACAGGGTTTCACCATATTGGCCAGGATGGTCTTGAACTCCTGACCTCAGGTGATCCGCTTGCCTTGGCCTCCCAGAGTGCTGGGATTACAGGCATGAGCCACTGGGCCTGGCCAAGCTCTGTAACTTTCACGTACACAAAAGTACATTTCAGTTCTCAACTCCTTATCTAAAAAGACAGTTTGGAGACCAAGACACTGTTTCTGGTTTCCTGTGGGGTGGCATAGTGGAGCTTAACAAGAAACACCATCCCAATTTCCTGATGGTGGAGAAGCATACAACCATCAGTGAGATCAAAGACACTTTCCAGCAGTTTCTAAACGGGGACAACATTGGCATCATCCTCATAAATCAGTACATTACAGAGATGGTGTGGCACACCTTGGATACCCACTGGCGCTCTATCCCAGCCGTCCTGGAAAGCCCCTCCAAGGAGCACCTGTATGACACCCCCAAGGACCTCATCCTGGCAGGGCCAGGGCATGTTCTCTGCCAAAGACCTGCGCTAGGGGCTTCCTCACGGCCCTCAGCCCCTCCCTCGTTTCCAGGCCTCTCCCCAGGCTTGCCATCAGCCTCCTTTAAGTTTTGAGCTTCTCACTTCCAATTCCTCACCTCTTTCCACTTCATTAAGAGGCTAGGGGAGGTGCTAGGTTGCTGGGGTTCTGCTGTTAAAATACAGGCTAGTTAAGGAACAGAAGCCAGACCATCTTCTCTCTCCACTACCACTTACCTGTGCTGTTTGTTACACAGTGTCATTGTTGATGTAAAATTAAAGTATAATATTAATATTCTTAGAGTTGATGTAGTGATATTTCTACAGATTATGTGTGCAGCTCAGCACTGGGGCAACAAAAGAGCCCTTGACATCTAATAGACTTGAGTTCAAATCCCACCCTGTCACCTACCAGCCATGTGATATCAGATAAATTAATTACCCCTTTTAAGTCTTGTTTTCTAATACCTGCCTTCTATAGTTAGCATGAGACTTAAATGAGAGAATGTATGTAAAACACTTAGCATGATGTCTAATAGTCAGGGGGGCAACAACATCTCACCAGATATTCCATTTGTCTATAGAAGACCTTTAGGAAGTACAGCCATAGTATATTGATTTCCCTTTGACAGATGAAGAAACTGGCAACGTTAATGAGTATTGGTAACAGTGAAGAGACAGAGAACTGCTCGTTCTCTACTGGGAAAGTGAAAACTGGGACAACCACTAAGCACAGTCACAATTTGGCAGTGTCTAGGAAAGTTGAAGAGGTATTTTTCCCTACATCCCAGCAATTCTATTTCTAGGTATATGCTCTAGAAAACTCTCACACATGTGCCCATGAAGACATGTAAGTATGTACATTGCAGCCAGGTGTGTTGGCTCACCCTTATAATGCCAGCACTCTGGAAGGCTAAGGCTGGAAGACCATTTGAGCCCAGGAGTTTGAGACCAGAATGGACAACATAGTGTGACCCCCTTCTACAAAAAAGTAAAAACATTAGCCAAGCATGGTGGCATGCCCTTGGAGTCTCAGCTACTCAGGAGGCTGAGGTAGGAGGATCATTTGAGCCCAGGAGGTTAAGGCTGCAGTCAGCTGTGGTTGCACCACTGCACTCCAGCCTGGGTGACAGAGCAAGACCCTGTCTCAAAAAATTTTTCTTTTAAATTAAAAATATGTACACTGCAACAATACTTATGAGAGGAAACAATAATAAGCAATCTAAATGTCCAATAGTATAGAAAATGTGATATAGTCAAGGAAGATAAATTGGATACAGTCATGAAGGAAACACCTACACCAATTAAATTGGCTGAAGTAGCTACATGGGGCAACATGAGTAAATACTATAAAGTTGAATGAAAAGGGTAGTGGCAGAAGGATCCGCACAATATGATACCATTATTTTTTTAATAGCTTTATAGAGGTGTAACTGATATACATAAACCTACATAGAGTCAATATGAACAATCTGATGAGCTTAGACATATGCACACACCCATGACACTGGTTTGTCTCTGTCTCAAAAAAAAAAAAGATAAGTAATAGATTTATAATAAATCTTATACTCAAAGGCCAGGCACGGTGGCACAAGCCTGTAATCTCAGCACTTTGGGAAGCTGAGGCAGGTGGATCATGAGGTCAGGAGTTCAAGACCAGCCTGGTCAACATGGTGAAACCCCGTCTCTACTAAAACTACAAATATTAGCCTGATGCAGTGGCAGGCACCTGTAATCCCAGCTGCTCGGGAGGCTGAGGCAGCAGAATCACTTGGACCCAGGCGGCAGAAATTGCAGTGAGCCGAGATCACACCACTGCACTCCAGCCTGGGTGACAGGTAAGACTCCATTTCAAAATAAATAAATAAATAAATAAATAAATAAATAAATAAATAAATAAATAAATAAAACATTCCGGATAATCAATATTCAGGACAATGGTTATCTCAGGAAAGGAGGAAATGTAATAGAAGAGGGATACTAGGAGGGCATAATTGTTTCTGTAATATTTTCATTCCTTTTTTTTTTTCTTTTTTGAGGCAGAGTCTCACTCTGTCACCCAGGCTGGAGTGCAGTGGTATGATTTTGGCTCACTGCAACCTCCATCTCCTGGGTTCAAGCGATTCTCCTGCCTCAGCCTCCCAAGTAGCTGGGATTACAGGCGTGTGTCACCACACTCATCTAACTTTTGTATTTTTAGTAGAGAAGGGGTTTTGCCATGTTGTCCAGGCTGGTCTTGAACTCCTGACCTCAGGTGATCCACCTGCCTCGGCCTCCCAAAGTGCTGGGATTACAGGTGTGAGCCACCATACCTGACCATATTTAAGGTCTTTAAAAAATAGCTAAAGCACATGTGGCTTAATGTAGGCATTTATGTGCAAAGACTCAGATGTTGTTATATTATTCTTTACACATATGTATACACATACGTATGTAAGCAGAAAATACTATGTGATAGGCACTTAGATTCTTTGTGTGTATTAACTAATGTAATCATTTCAACAACCCTACAACCCTGTTGTTACTATGATTATCCCTGTTTTACAGTTGAGGAAACTGAAGTATGGATATTAGAAACTTGCCCAATGTCACATATATAGTAAGCGGTGATCCTGGAATTTGAAGATGGTCTGGCTTCAGAGTCTGATTTTTTTTTTTTTTTAATTTTTCTCTCTTTGGGCTGGGTGCAGTGGCTCGTGCCTATAATGCCAGCACTTTGGGAGGCTGAGGCAGGTGGATCATTGAACGTAAGAGTTGAGACCAGCCTAGGCAACATGGTGAGACCCTGTCTCTACCATAATAATAATTTTCTCTTTTTTATTTTAAAAAATCTTTTACTTGTTAACTTTATTTCTTTTTCTTCCTGGTAACTCCCAGAACAAGAGTCTCATTTCTTAACAACCATATCCTACTATTTCTTCAAATATTTCAAAACTTTAAGAATATAAGAGGAGGGCACTACTGAGCAGGAAGGTAAATTTGCCTAGCATCACACAGGCTGTGTGACAAAAAGGCAGTTCAACAATCTTTCCTAACCTTCATGTGCTGCGGGGAGTCATGCATACCTGTGACTTGTGAAGAGAAGGATAAATCAAACAGCAAACTAAGAAGACTCTTTTCAAGTCTTTAAGAAATTCTCTGGAAGTCAATGCAAAGGAGAATAAGTACTTCTATTTTTGAAGAGTTTCTTATTTAGAGTCTGAGCTAATAATCCTGAGGGTTATGATTGTTGTTAAATTATTATCTACATTTGGGGAGGACCATTTGCATGGGCAAATCCCCAATGAGTCATAATCCACACACAAAATAAAAATTAACTCTGTTCTTTCCATGTTACAAAAGAGTAAAATCAAGGCTAGAAATCAAATTTAATACCTGCCTCTGGAAGATCCATTGGTGGATTCAGCCTATGTCTTTGGGGCAGGTCAAAGACCACTGTTGGTGGTTGGGCCTGAGGGAGGGGCCAGTAGCCTCCTACGATCCTCCATGATTCTGCCTTTCTGTTTCACATCCAGACCCAGCATGGCTCCAAGGTTTGGGGGAAACTGGCAACTTGGACAGGGTAGCAGCAGGTTTCATGACAAAGAGAACTTAGTTCAGCAAGTAAAAAGCTTTTGGAGAAAAGTCAACTGAACATCTTTTAAATGGGTAATTTATTTTTAAATTATAGGATATTTTCAGTCCTGTCATATTTCTGAATTTTATGATTTTATTTTCCCTTTGGAAAGTTCCTGCGGGCACCTCTCTAGTCCCACAAAAGAGTGAGTTCCCCAATAGGTAAATTAATTCTTACATTTCTGTAGCAATGTTCTCCTTACAAAGAGGTTTTTTTAATCTATTATATAATTTGAATTTTATGCTATTTGATTTGTAGGGGTCAGATGTGATGTCTCACGCCTGTAATCCCAGTTCTTTGGGAGGAAGCAGATGGATGGCTTGAGCCCAGGAGTTCAAGACCAGCCTCTGCAGGATAGCGAAACACTGTCTCTACCAAAAATACAAAAATTAGCTGGGTGCGGCGGCGCCTGTCTATGTAGTCCCAGTTACTCGGGAGCCTGAGAAGGGAGGATCGCTGGAGCCGGGGAGGTCGAGGTTGCAGTGAGCCAAGATCACAGCACTGCACTCGGCCTGGGCCACAGAGCGAGACCTGGTCTCAAAAATAGTAAATAAATACCAGCCTGGCCAACATGGTGACCCTGTCTCTACCAAAGAAACAAAAGGTAAACAGGTGTGGTGGTGCCTGCCATCATGCTCGGCTGATTTTTGTATTTTTGGTAGAGATGGGTTTCACCACGTTGACCAGGCTGGTCTTGAACTCCTGACCTCGGGTGATCCGCCAGCCTCAGCCTCCCAAAGTGCTGGGATTACAGGTGTGAGACACTGAGCCCAGCCCCCTCCATTTTTTTTTTTTTTTAAGATGGAGTTTTGCTCTTCTTGCCCAGGCTGGAGTGCAATGGCGCAATCTTGGCTCACCACAACCTCCGCTTCCCAGGTTCAAGCCAAGTAGCTGGGCTTGCAGGCATGTGCTACCACACCCATCTAATTTTTTGTATTTTTAGTAGAGACAGGGTTTCTGCATGCTGATCAGGCTGGTCTTGAACTCCCAACCTCAGGTGATCCACTCGCCTCGGCCTCCCAAAGTGCTGGGACTACAGGCGTGAGCCACCACACCCGGTCAAAAATTTTTTAATGATCTATAGGAAATAGGAATAATTAAAACAATGATATCCAGTATATGATGTTACTGGATGATGCCCATCACAAAAGACCACATGTTGTAGATTACATTTATATGAAATGTACAGAATAGGGAAATCCATGAAGACAGAAAGTTGATTAGTGGTTGCCAGGGGCTGGGGGGAAACAAAGGAAATGAAGAATGACTGTTAATGGGCACAGGGTCTCTTTTTGAGGTGATGGAAATTACATAGCTCTGAAATTAGTGGTGATGGTTGCATAGACTTGTGAATATATGAAAAATTGCTAAGTTGTACAGTTTTAAAGGATGAATTTTATAGACTATCTCAATTTTTTTTTTCATTTTAAAATTATTTTTATTTATTTATTTTTTCTTAGAGACGGGGTTGCTCTATGTTGCCCAGGCTCGTCTTGAACTCCTGGGCTCAAGCAGTTCACCCCACCTCAATGTCACAAAATGTTGGGATTACGGGCGTGAGCCACCGTACCTGGCCTCAGTATTTTTAACTGCAAAAGAAAAAAAACCTGAGCCCTAACCACATGCTAGGATTGGTTAAGAACTTTACTTGCCTCAAGCCACTTGCCTCCATGATTATCTCGACAAGCTTATGTGATACTATCATTTCTTCATTTTACAGATGGTACAGAAGGAAACAGACTCAGAGAGGTGATTGGTCCACAGTGATGTGGTAAGCAAATAAACACCAACCAAAATTCAGATTTCTGACCCTCACTTTCCAAATCAGACCCTTGACTATAATCCTGGTAATTCAAGGGGATATTTCTGAGTGGACTTCTCCTGGTATTTCCTCTGGTCAGCTCCTTTTTTTTTTTTTTTTTGAGATGGAGTCTCATTCTACCATCCAGGTTAGAGTGCAGTGGCAAGATCAGAGTTCACTGTGGGCTGAAACTCAAGCCATCTGCCTCCCAAAGTGGAATTACAGGAATGAGCCACTATGCCCAGCCCTCAACCCCTTAATAATAGATCTTCGCAATGGCTTATCCTTTTACAATACTTTTTTTTTTTTTTTTTTTTTTTGAGACGAAGTCTCTGTTGCCCAGGAGTGCAGTGGTGCGATATGGGCTCACTGTAATCTCCACCTCCCCAGTTCAAGTGATTCTCCTGCTTCAACTTCCCTAGTAGCTGGGACCACAGGCACCTGCCATTACACCTGGCTAATTTTTATATTTTTAGTAGAGACAGGGTTTTACCAAATCAGCCAGGCTGGTCTTGAACTTGAACTTGTGATCCACCTGCCTCGACCTCCCAAAGTGCTGGGATTACAGACAGAAGCCACTGCATCAGTTTTTTTTTTTTTTTTAAATAGAGACAAGGTCTCACTATGTATCTCAGGCTGGTCTTGAACTTGAACTCCTGGTTTCAAGTGATCCTCTCACCTTGGCATCCCAAATCATTGGCATCACGGGCATGAGCCACCACGTCTGGCCTCCTTTACTTTTGAGAGTTAAACATAGCAGTGATTTTCCCTCCTGAAAGTCCTTAATTCTTCAAATCACTTTTCTTCTGACAAAAAGCAAAGTTTCACTTCTTAGCTCCTCTCTAGGGAAGCCCCTTCAGGTCACACAAGGGCAGCCGGTTTTAAGCAAAGCTGTGCTGCTTATCCTCTGCACTTATTCAGCTCCAAGGACATGATTACCTTGCCACTGAGTTCCCCAAGGGCTTTTCTAATGTATACATGTTTCCTCTGACCTAATGGAGCATTTGGGTCAAAAGTGAGTCAGCAAAAACACTACAGAAGGAAAAGACACATTCCAACAGCTTCACTTATGGGTGAATCCTCAGACATTCAGAGTTGGAGCAAACCTCAGTGATTCTTTGCTCTGAGATCTCTCTAACATGGAGAATTCCAGGGTAGAGCAACATTAGGTGACTATCTCACGGCCATGGAGTCAGAAGTATACCTCACCCTAAAATTCTGACACTATATACAACTGGCTTGGTTTCTCAAATGATTCTCAATCAAAGGAAACTCCTAAGGAGTTCCAGTTAGTGTTACTGATGTTGCTTGTTTACATTTTACTATGTAAAATCTGCTAGTTAGAAAAGACACTTCTGGGTTCTTTGGTTTGTTTTTTTGTTTTGGGACAGTCTTTCCATGTTGCCCAGGCTGGAGTGCAATGGCTCAATCTCGGCTCTCTGCAACCTTCACCTCTTGTGTTCAAGTGATTCTCATGCCTCACCATCCCAAGTAGCTGGGATTACAGGCGCCCACCACCCACACCTAGCTAATTTTTGGTGTTTTTTTAGTAGAGATGGGGTTTCACCATGTTGGCCAGGCTAGTCTGGAACTACTGACCTCAGGTGATCCACCCACCTTGGGCTCCCAAAGTGCTGGGATTACAGGTGTGAGCCACAGCACCTGGTCTGACACTTCTGGTATATCCCTATAATGGAATATTACACAACCATAAACATTTACAAAGATAAGTATTTTTAGATAAAATATTAAGTTCTAAACAATTAACTAGGCCAGATGCAGTGGCTCATGTTTGTAATCCCAACACTTTGGAAGGCTGAGGTGGGAGGATCACTTGAGCCTAGGAGTTCGAGACCAGTCTGGGCAACATAGTGAGACTCTGTGTCTATTATTTTAATAAAAATGGCCAGGTGCAGTGGCTCACATCTGTAATCCCAGCACTTTGGGAGGCCAAGGTGGGAAGATCACCTGAGGTCAGGAGTTCGAGACCAACCTGGCCAATATGGCAAAATCCCATCTCTACGAAGAATTAGCCGGGTATGATGGCAGGTGCTTGTAGTTCCAGCTACACGAGAGGCAGAGGCAGGAGAATTGTTAACCCAGGAAGCAGAGGTTGCAGTGAGCCAAGATCACACCACTGCACTCTAGCCTGGGCAACAGAGTGAGACTTGGTCTCCAAATAAATAAATAAAATTTTTAAATAAAATAAAATAAAAAAATTTTTAAAGATTACTAAAAGCAAGCACAGTATCATCATCTTTTTTTTTTTCTTTTTGAGAGAGTCTTGTTCTGTCTACCAGGCTGGAGTGCTGCAGTGTGATCACAACTTACTGCAGCCACAAATTCCTATGTTCCAGAGCCTTCCCACCTCAGCCTCCTGAGTAGCTGGGACCACAAGCGCACACCACTGTGCCTGGCTAATTTTTCATTTTTATTTTTGTAGACACAGGGTCTCACTTTGTTGCCCAGGCTGTTCTTGAGCCTCAAATGATCCTCCCACCTTGGCCTCCCAAAGTACTGGGGATTAGAGGTCGTTTTTTTTGGAAAAAAAAAAAGTATGTATATAAACATTTATAAGTACTAGAATATGCACCAAAATGCTGATAAAGCTTCTCTGTCTCTGGACATTGCATTATAGGTGACTTTTTTCTTCTTTTTGATAATCTATAATATCTGTAAGTCTATAACTTTTAATTTTTTTTTTTTTCATAGAGATGGGGTTTCACCACGTTGGCCGAGCTGGTCTTGAAGTCCTGGCCTCAAGTGATCCACCCACCTTGGCCTCCCAAAGTGCTGGGATTACAGGCGTGAGCCACTGCGCCCAGCCAACTTTTAATTTTTTTTTTTAAGAAGAGATAAATTCTCATTATGTTACCCAGGCTGGTCTCAAACACCTAGGCTCAGGTGATCCTCCCACCTCAGCCTCCCAAAGTGCTGGGGTTATAGGTGGGAGCCACCAGGCCAGGCCCTGTATTTTTTACAATATACTTTTTTTTGGCCAGGATCTCTCTCTGTCACCCAGGCTGGACTGCAGTGGCATGATCATGGCTCACTGCAGCAACCACCAAACTCAAGTGATCTTGCCAATTCAGCCTCCCAAGTAGCTAGGATCAGAGGTATATGCCACCACATCTGACCAATTTTTTTAATTTTTTGAAGAGACTATTTTTTGTCTCATTGTGTTGCCCAGGCTGGTCTTGAATTCCTGGCCTTAAGCAATTCTTTCACCTTGGTCTACCAAAGTACAGTTTACCTTGGAAAGAATAATTTTCTATTTTTAAAAAAGTGAGAATAGGTCAGGTGAGGTGGCTCACACCTGTAATCCCAGTACTTTGGGAGGCCAAAGCAGGTAGATCACCTGAGGTCAAGAGTTCAAGACCAGCCTGACCAACATGAAGAAACCTGATCTCTACTAAAAATACAAAATTAACCAGAAGTGGTGGTGCATGCCTGTAATCCGAGTAGCTGGGGAGGCTGAAACAAGAGACTCACTTGAACCCGGGAGGCGGAGGTTGCAGTGAGCCAAGATCATGCCATTGCACTCCAGCCTGGGCAACAAGAGTGAAACTCCATCTCAAAAAAAAAAAAAAGTGAGGATAGACCAAAGTTTTTTTAAACAGGACATAAAAAATACCAAGTAAAAAAAGAATAATTGATAGATTAGACTATATTAAAACTAAGAAAAGCAGTTTATCAAAATATCATTGTAATTACCTGATGTGTACTTCCTGCCCACTGTACAGACAAAATCAATCCACTGAGACCATGGCATTGCAGTAGAGAAAGAGTTTTATTAATGTGAGGCTGGCCCACACAAGATAATTGGAGTTATCACTCAAATCAGTCTCCCAGACAATCTGGTGGGCAGGGGGTTAGGGAATAGGTGTTGCTGACTGGTTGGGGATGAACTCATAGGGGTAGATTCACAGGGATCCTCATGTGCAGCATGCACTCCTGATTAGGGAGGGCCACAGAATATGGTGAGTCATGAGTCACAAGTCTGGATGGGTTCAGTCTGAAAAACATTTCAAAACAAAAAATCTTAGGTTCTACAATAATGATGTTATCTATAGGAGCAATTAGGAAAGTCACAAATTTTGTGACCTCTGGCCATATGACCCCTGAGCAGTAATGGCTTATACAAACTAAGCCTATATGTTAGCAGAGTTCAGGCCCCTTCCATAATCCTATTCTTGTGGCCTTTCAGGAGTCTTACAAAGGTAGGTTTTGATTCCTGAGCAAGGAGAGAGTTAGTTTCATGGAGGGACTATTATCATTTCCTTGCTTTGCTTTCTTTTCTTTTTCTTTTTTTCCTTTTATTTTTTAATTTTTATTTTTTTTAAGATAGAGTCTCACTCTGTCCACCCCGGCTGGAGTGCAGTGGCATGATCTTGGCTCACTGCAGTCTCAATCTCCTAGGCTCAAGCTATCCTCTCACCTCAGCCTCCCAAGTAGTTGGGACTGCAGGTGCTCTCCACCATGCCCAGCTAGTTTTTGTATTTTTTTATAGAAATGGGGTCCCCCTACATTGCCCAGGCTGGTCTCAAACTCCTGGGCTCAAGGGATCCTCCTATCTCAGTCTCCCAGAGTGTAGGGATTACAGGCGTGAGCCACCATGTCCAGCTTAAATATAATTTATAAATTACATATATCTTACAAGAGAGGAAAACAAACAGTTCCAACACTTTAGATAGGAATTGGGACATATATCAAAATTGTTGAAATATGGCCCAGTTCTGTCAGGTTTTTCCCTCAGAAAAATTGGGAAGTCGACCAAGTTTCCTTTCTACTTAGTCTGCTATCAGCTTTCTGTATCTCTTTACAGAGTTTGAGCCTCCAGGGGTCCTCTCTTCCTTCTCAAGGGCCCAACTCATACCCCATTCCAGCTCTTAACTGAAGCATCTATGGACCATTAAGGTGTTATCTGGACACATGCACACGGATGTTCACTGCAGCCCTGTTTACAATAGCAAAGACCTGGAACCAACCCAAATGCCCATCAATGATAGACTGGACAGGGAAAATGTGGCACATATACACCATGGAATATTATGCAGCCATAAAAAACAATGACTTCATGTCCTTTGTAGGGACATGGATGAACTGGAAACCGTCATTCTCAGCAAACTGACACAAGAACAGAAAATCAAACACTGCATGTTCTCACTCATAGGTGGGTGTTGAACAATGAGAACACATGGACACAGGGAGGATAGCATCACACACTGGGGTCTGTCGGGGGGAAATAGGGGAGGGACAGCAGGTGGTGGGGAGTTGGAGAGAGATAGCATGGGGAGAAATGCCAGATATAGGTGATGGGGAGGAAGTCAGCAAATCACACTGCCATGTGTGTACCTGTGCAACAATCTTGCATGTTCTTCACATGTACCCCAAAACCTAAAATGCAATTAAAAAAAAAAAAAAAGGTGTTATCTGGAAACAAGTCAGCTCTTGTTCTTTTCCCTAGAGGCGTTTGTGTTATAAGAGGGGACTTAGAGGGACTTTCTAGACAGGGATATATGTTGGGAAGAAGGCGAGATTAGAAAGGAATAAGGTGGATTTGAAATGATTGTCAAGTTCCCCAAACTTTTTATCGAAATTCCAAGAAGCTCAGAAGCCTTTAGGTAAACTGAAATTTAAATACCAAAGTAAGCCAAAGCACCTATTATACTTTCACATCCTTATCTCATTTGAACCTCACAACAACCCTGTGAAGTAGTCTGGGTCACTGGCCCTAAAGGATAGATCAGGAGAGTCACTATTAAGAAATGTTCATAGGGTTACATAAATGGAACTTGAAGGTCTTAAAATGTGAAGTTGGGTCACCTGATTCATGGCCGCATGCTACACTCTTCTCCCAGAAAAGCCTTTTTAACATCAGGGTTTCTTTTAGCCAATCTCCCCAGAATCAGTGGAAAGGAATTCAGGGCCCTTCGATGTAACTTTGCTTTTGGCAAGTTCGTCCTCTTTCTTCTTAGCTTTTTTAGCGTTCCTTGTAGTCTCAACTTCTGCTATATTGCTTCTTGACTCTTCAAAAAATGCTGCTAGTAACTGCAGTTGACCACACCTTTGATTTAATTTTTAAAGTTTTTTAAATTTTAAATTTAAATTTTTTTTTTTTTTTTAAGCAGAGTCTCTTTCTGTCACCCAGACTGGATGGAGTGCAGTGGCACAATCTCGGCTCATTGAAACCTCCACCTCCCAGGCTCAAGCGATTTTCCTGCCTCAGCTGAGACTGCAGGCACGTGCCACCACGCCCAGCTAATTTTTGTATTTTTAGTAGAGATGGGGTTTCACCATGTTGCCCAGTTGGGTCTCTAGTGATCCATCCACCTCAGCCTCCCAAAGTGCTGGGATTACAGGCGTGAGCCAACATGCCCAGCACAACCTTTGATTTCAAGTGCTCTCCACACATTTATTTTCATGCTTGGTTATGGTGGGTAGCAGTGGCATCATGGGGTAACTTGGAGACAACTTTAGTCTACCTATGCAGCAAGCCATTTCAAATAAATACACTATTTATATAAAAACAGTGCTAGGCAGGCTGGGCACAGTGGCTCATGCCTGTAATCCCAGCACTTTGGGAGGCAGAGGCAGGCAGGTCGCTCGAGCGAGTTTGAGACCAGCCTGGGCAACATAGCAAGACACTGTCTCTATAAAAAAAAATTTTTTTAGATATAAAAATTAAGGCCGGGCGCAGTGACTCACGCCTGTACTGTAATCTCAGCACTTTGGGAGGCCGAGGCAGGCAGATCACTTGAGGTCAGCAGTTCGAGACCAGCCTGGCCAACATGGTGAAAACCTGTCTCTACTAAAAATACAAAAATGGGCCGGGCATGGTGGCAGGCACCTGTAATCTTAGCTACTTGGGAGGCTGAGATGGGAGAACTGCTTGAACCCTGGGTGGCGGGGGCAGAGGTTGCAGTGAGCCAAGATCATGCCATTGCACTCCAGTCTGGGCAACAAAGTGAGACCCCGTGTCAAAAAAAAAAAATAGCCAGGTATGGTGGCAGGCACCTGTAATCCCAGCTACTAGGGAGGCTGAGGTGGGAGAATTGCTTGAACCTGGGGAAGTTGGGAAGAAGGTTGCAGTGAGCTGATATGGTGCCACTGTACTCCAGCCTGGGCAACAAGAGCAAGATTCTGTCTCAAAAATAAATAAATAAATTAGTTAATTAATTTTTTAAAATGGATCTAGAGTTTTGAGTTTTTACTTTACTGTGTTCTCAAATCTGCTGGTTTGTAAAACAAAGAAAAACTGGACAGCTACTAATCTAAAAGAGGATTAATTTGGCCACACCATCATGAATTACATTGTTTGCCAAATGTGCTGAACTTCAACTCTGGTCACGAAGTAGACAGTTAAGCAGCCCTCTGTGTTAGTGGGCCAAATCATAGTTTGGCTGTGTGTCAGAAATGGAGTAAGGTCTATGGGGGCTGCAGGTCCCAAATTCTGGCTCTCAGTCCCCGTTTCCAAACTGAAAGGGACATTTCTATCTAGCAGAAAATAAAGGCTGGGTGTGGTAGCTCACACCTGTAATCCCAACACTTAGGGAGGCCAAGGAGGGCAGATCACAAGGTCAGAAGATTGAGACTATCCTGGCTAACACAGTGAAATCTTGTCTCTTCTAAAAATACAACACATTAGGCCGGGCGTGGTGGCTCAAGCCTGTAATCCCAGCACTTTGGGAGGCCAAGGAGGGTGGATCATGAGGTCAAGAGATCGAGACCATCCTGGTCAACATGGTGAAACCATGTCTCTACTAAAAATACTAAAAATTAGCTGGGCATGGTGGCCTGTGCCTGTAATCCCAGCTACTCAGGAGGCTGAGGCAGGAGAATTGCCTGAACCCAGGAGGCGGAGGTTGCGGTGAGCCGAGATTGCGCCATTGCACTCCAGCCTGGGTAACAAGAGCGAAACTCCATCTCAAATAAAAAAAAAAAAAATTAGCCAGACCGCGCCTATAGTCCCAGCTATTTGGGAGGCTGAGGCAGGACAATTTCTTGAATTTGGAAGGCAGAGGTTGCAGTGAGCTGAGATTGTACCACTGCACTCCAGTCTGGGCAACAGAACAAGACTTCATCTCAAAAATAAATAAATAAAATAAAATAAAAAATAAATGCTCATGAATGACTCTTTGGAGTCCACTCTACATCCTGCTCATGAATTCCCGAATCCTCATGTTCTGTTTTTTGGAAGGTGCAGGGCATTCCTATGTGAGCCTTTTTGGACAGGCCTTAGTTGAGCCACTTAAACTACAGTGGCATTGCAAATGGAGAAAGCTGTAAGCTCTGGACAGCTGCTGCCCCTCACCTCCTGTGGACACCATCCTATCCTCTCCTTTTAAATTCCAGAGAGAATAGACTCCTTGGTAGCTTTGTTGGAAGTCTGCCAACACCTATTGTTACGAACAACAAGAGGGGCCATCTCAGCCACCCCTGGGGTGGGGGTGGGGGTTTATGGGTGTCTCCACTGTTGCCAAGCCTCTGCATTAGGGTATATCTTGCAAAATGACACTTGTAACCCACTGCTCTTCATATTCCCTCCACCATGTGGGCCCTGCTCCCAGGCCTTGATCTTTCCTTTTGATGAAACCAACCTACATTACATTGTGGGCAGAAAGCAAGGAACAAGTGGATATCACATGGAAAGGTTTGGCATGAATAATCAGTACTGGACAGGGAATTGACATAACCAGGATTGTAAGCGACATAGAAATTCTGTAATACTAATAACTGCTGGGCACAGTGGCTCACACCTGAATTCCCCCACTTTGGAAGGTTGAGGCAGGAAGATGGCTTGAACCCAGGAGTTCAAGACCAGCCTGGGCAACACAGTGAAACCCTGTCACTACAAAAATAAATAAATACATAAATAAATAAAATTAGCTGGGCACTATGGGGTGTGCCTGTAGTCCCAGCTACTCAGGAGGCTGAGCCGGGAGGATTACTTGAGCCAGAGAGATCAAGGCTGCAGTGAGCTGTGATTGTGCCACTGCACTCCAACCTGTGTGGCAGAGGGAGAGCCTGTCTTGACAACAACAAAAACTAGTAACTTCCTTTTATGATTTACAGTGCCAGGCACTGTGCTATACATGCCATATACATTTCGTGCTTCATTTAATACAACTACTCTCTATGGTATTGTTGTCTGCATTTGATAAATGAGAATATTTAGAAGGAGATTAAATAAATTACTGAAGTTTGCAATAGCTAGTATGACAAAGTTAAACTTCACTATGCACTAAACTGTTTTATTTTCCCCCGAGTGCACAGAAAGATGACAATTTCCAGAACTCCATGCTTGGAGGTAGACCCCTGTGACTGAATTCTGGTCCATGGATTGTAGATGGGCTATGCCCCATTTCCAGGTTTGTTTATTTATTTATTTAAGACAGGGGTTCACCATGTTGGTCAGGCTGGTCTTGAACTCTCGACCTCAGGTGATCCACCCACCTTGGCTTCCAAAGTGCTTGGATTACAGGCGTGAGCCACCGCACCTGGCCCATTTCCAGGTTTAAAACATTCCACACAAAGTTCCACTTTCTCTTCCTTATCTGCACAGCTGGAAACAAAGGATCCACCCCACCCACTCCTCCTAAGGACAGAGCCTAGATCCCTGAGTAACTGCTTGGAGGAGAGCCACTCAAGACAGTTGACTGTCCAGCCTAGTCAACATAGGGAGACCCCCATCTCCACAAAAAATACAAAAATTAACCAGGCGATCTGTGGTTTCAGCTACTTGGGAGGCTGAGGTGGGAGGATTGCTTGAGCCTGGGAGGTTGAGGCTACAATAAGCAGTGATTGTGACATTGCATTCCAGCCTGGGCTACAGAGTAAGACCCTGTCTTAAAAAAAAAAAAAAAAAAAGCTGACTGGCCCACATTACACTGTAAATAGGAACAACAAATAAATCTTTCTTCTGTTCAGCTGTTGATATTTAAGGGTTTATTTGTCACTGCTGCATAACCTTGTCTACCCTGAGTAATACAGTTAGACAAGTTGTAGCCAGGACTCAAGTGGATTTCAGTACAGGTCTGACTAAACCTGTACTGTAACCACTCTTGACTACTCTTTACTACTCTTTTACACCTAGCATAGGAGAATCGGAAGAGAGTTTCTAATCTCGAACTCTGCCACTTACGTGTGTGATTTCTTAGGTGATTCAATTAACTCTTCCATGCTTCAGTGTTTTCATTTGTCCTATGAGAACGAAAATATCTATTCTTCTGACTTCCTGTGGTTATTGCAAGAAGCAAACAAGGCAATAGCTGTGAAATGATTTTGAAAATAAGCATCCTCCAAATGCAAAGAAGAGTTATTATTTAACAGAGTTTCCTGACTGTAGTTAGGAAGTCATACCACTGACTTTAGAACTGGCATGAAAATTTATGCTTATATATCTGCCTGTATTATTGGTAATACTTACTCTTTTGATCTGTTTAAATTTTAACATAATCTCAAACTTACAGATGAGTCACAAAAATGGTACCTTTACCCAGATTTCCCACGTTTATATTTTGCCCCATTTTGATCATATTTCTGAATTATTCAAGAGTAAACTGATGGCTGGGCATGGTGGCTCACGCCTGTAATCCCAGCACTTTGGGAGGCCGAGGTGGGTGGATCACCTGAGGTCTGAAGTTAGAGATCAGCATGACCAACATGGCAAAACTCCACCTCTACTAACAATACAAAATTAGCCTGGTGTGGTGGCACATGTCTGTAATCCCAGCTACTTGGGAGGTTGAGGCAGGAGAATCACTTGAACCCGGGAGGCAGAGGTGTCAGTGAGCCAAGATCGTTTCACTGCACTCCAGCCTGGGTGACAAGAGCTAAATTCCGTCTTAAAAAAAAAAAAAGAAAGAAAGAAAGAAAAGTAAACTGGAGACAACGTGTGCTTTACCAGTCCAGAGGGAGTTCAACCCTGTTAACAACTTGTTTTCAGCCAGTGAAACTGGCTTCATTCTTCTGACCTCCAGAGCTAAAAGAAAATAAATGTGAGTTGGCCAGGCACAGTGGCTCACGCCTGTAATCCCAGCACTTTGGGAGGCTGAGACAGGTGGATAACCTGAGGTCAGGAGTTCAAGACCAACCTGACCAACATAGAGAAACCCCATCTCTACTAAAAATACAAAATTAGCAGGGTGTGGTGGCACATACCTGTAACCCCAGCTGCTCGGGAGGCTGAGGCAGGAGAATTGCTTGGAACCTGAGAGGGGAAGGTTGCAGTGAGCAGAGATCATGCCATTGCACTCCAGCTTGGGCAACAAGAGGAAAACTCTTTAAAAAAAAAAAAAAGAAAGAAATGTAGGCCGGGAGCAGTGGCTCATGCCTATAATCCCAGCACTTTGGGAGGTCCAGGCCGGTGGATCACAAGGTCAAGAAATTGCCTCAGGAGGTGGAGGTTGTAGTGAACCAAGATCGCGCCATTGCACTCCAGCCTGGGAAACAAGAGCAAAACTCCATCTCAAAATAAAAAAAAAAAAAAAAGAAGAAATGTGTGTTAATTTAATCCACCAAATCTGTGGTAATTTACCATAGCAGCCACAGGAAACAAACATAGTCCATAATTAAATTTTGGCAATTGTCTAAATAGTATTCATTTAACGTATTTCTGTTCTCGAGATAATCTTCAGTTCAGGATCATATTTTTCAATTCAGGATCATGTGTTTTTAGTCTAATCTAGAACAGTTCTCTAGCCTTACTTTGTCTTTCTTGACTTGGACATTTTTGGAAAGTACAGCTACTGGCCAGGCATGGTGGCTCATGCCTGTAATCCCAACACTTTGGGAGGCTGAGGAGGGAGGATCACTTGGGCCCAGGAGTTCCAGACCCACCTGGACAACATAGTGAGACTGCATCCCTAAAAAAAATGTGATGGTGAGCACCTGTAGCTACTCCAGCACCTCCAGCTACTCAGGAGGCTGAGGTGGGAGAACTGCTTGAGCCAAGGAGGTAAAATCTGCGGTGAGCCATGATCATACCACTGCACTCCAGCATGGGCAACAGAGGGAGACCCTGCCTTAAAAAAGTACAGCTATTTATTTTGCAGAATGTCACTTGATTTTTGTTTGGCTAATGTTTCCTCATCCTTAGGTTCAAATTATGCAGTTATACAGGACTATAATATCATTTCAGGAGTTATATAACGTTGGTTTGTCCTAAAATTGATAGTTGATTTTGATCACTTGATGAAGGTTGGGGCTACCAGATTGCTCTCTGTAAAGTTATTAATTTCCCCTATATAAATAAAAAGTAATTTGTGAGGATATTCTTTGAAGCTGTTCCTCATTATGATTTAACCCTCAAGTTTTAGCATTCCTGACGATCTTTTCTTTTTTTTTTGAGACAGACTGGCTCTGTCACCCAAACTGGTGTGCAGTGGAGCGATCTCAGCTCACTGCAACCTTTGTCTCCCTGGTTTAAGTGATTCTCAAGCCTCAGCCTCCAAAGTAGGTGGGACTGCAGATGAGCACCACCAGGCCTGGCTAAGTTTTGTATTTTTAGTAGAGACGGGGATTTTATCATGTTGGCCAGGCTGGTCATGAACTCCTGACCTCAGGTGATTTGCCTGCCTCAGCCTCCCAAAGTGCTGAGATTACAGGCATGAGCCACTGCGCCAGCACTTGGCTTGTCTTTTATTTTTGATATCCAGATTGTCCCAGATTTGGCCAGCAGGAGCACCTTAAACTGGCTTCTTTGTTCTTTCAATATATCCCCTACATTCTTTGAGCATTTTCTTACTTTGTAGCATAAGAAGATATTTCAGGTTCATCTTACACTTTCTCTGCAGCAGTCTGTTCTCCCGGAAACCCTGGTTCCTTTTGTAGGAGAATGGAATTCAGAAACCAAGCTCTGAGAGCTAGGTATGCTCTGTGGCTGCTTCTGTGGGCTCTGTCAGTGGACAGAGCCAGGAAGTTTGTATAAAGCCAAGAGTTCATACTGATACCTCCAAGTCTAATTCAACATCACATAGTACTTTCCTCCTCCCCATTTTTGTAACTTCCAACAGTGGGAACACTGGTTCCCTTTACCTTCAGTATGTCTTCTCATTTACTCAAGTCGAATTTACCAACTATAGTCAATATTTAGTTACAGGGTTTTCTGGTGTGGGGAAGCAAATGGACATGAGTTAGACAAATCTTTTTAGTTTCTTGGATTATGTTAGGGAAGCAGGAGTACAGGAGAGCCAAGGTGACACCACTTTAAAAAATGACTCTATCTTAAAACTAGCAAGATGCATTCCTTGCTAGTCACAGCCCATTTTCATAAGATGTTTATGGTTGAAGAAACAGCTTAATAATGCTTGCAAGGAGAAACTCCTATGATAGGAAAATGTCCAAATGTCCTGATATCACATAACAATATATGCTCTTGAAAATAATTATAGGCTTGGCATGGAGGCTGACACCTGTAATCCAAGAACTTTGGGAGGCCAAGGCAGGCGAATCACCTGAGGTCAGGAGTTCGAGACCAGCCTGGCTAATGTGGTGAAACCCCATCTCCATTAAAAATACAAAAATTAGCCAGGCATGGTGGCGGGTGCCTGCAATCCCAGCTACTTGGGAGGCTGAGGCAGGGGAATCGCTTGAACCCAGGAGGCAGAGGTTGCAGTGAGCCAAGATTGTGCCACTGCTCTCCAGTCTGGGCAACAGAGTTAGACCCTGTCTCTAAATAAATAAATAAATAAAATTATAGGCTGGACACAGTAACTCATACCTATAATCTTAGCACTTTGGGAGGCCAAGGCAGGAGGACTGCTTGAGCCCAGGAGTTCAAGACCACCTTAGGCAACATGGCAAGACCTTGTCCTTACAAAAAAAATTACGCAGGGGTTGTGGTGGTAATGACAAGAGGCAGCCAAATGCCTAGGTGGATAGGACTGGATCCCCAGTGAAACACCAGCTCCAAGCTAAAGACAGTTTGAAGCCTGAAAGCCAAGCTACAAGTTAAATCCTCAGACCAGATTGAGAACTTATCTTCCCGTTTGGTGCGCCTTCCTCAGATTGATCCCCACCTTTCACCTATTTTACATATACTCACCCTTCCCTAATTGGTTTTCTACACTGTTGTGCCCACCTTTGAGTGATGTCTTCGCTTTAATCTTTTTTTCATGCTCACAAACCAGTCAGCATGCACTTTGCATTCTGAGTCCATAAAAAGCTCCAGATCCAGTCACACAGGGGACTTTCCTCCCTTCAGGTAGGAGAACCACTCCTACATCCCTGCTCCACTGTAAGCTGCTTCATCACTCAATAAAACTCCCTACCTTGCTAACTCTTTGATTGTCAGTGCATCTTCATTCTTCTTGGGTGCAGGACAAGATGTTGGGAACCAATGTGCAAGCCAGACCTGGCCTGGGTAGACCAAGTGAGCAAGCGGTCTCCTGTAGCAGGTAGCGTGCCCAAGCAAGGCTTGGCCCAGGCATCACTGGCCAGAGGTCTCCAGCTTGCAAAGTGAAAAAGAAAAAATTCCTAGGCCAGGTGCAGTGGCTCATGCCTGTAATCCTAGCACTTAGAGAGGTTGAGGAGGGTGGATCACTTAAGGTCAGGAGTTTGAAACCAGCCTGGCCAACATGGTAAAACCCCGTTTCTACTAAAATACAAAAAAATGAACCAGGTATGGTGGTGGGTACCTGTATTCCCAGCTACTTGGGAGGCTGAGGCAGGAGAATTGCTTGAATCCAGAAGGCAGGGGTTGCAGTGAGCCGAGATGGCACTACTGCACTCCAGCCTAGACAACAGAGTGAGACTCCGTCTCAAAAAAAATTCCTGTGTTGGTGGAGTGTGCCTGTAGTCCTAGCCACTCAGGAGGCTAAGTGGGGAAGATTCCTTGAATCTAGGAGGTCAAGGCTGCTGTGAGGTCTGATTGCACCACTGTACTCCAGATTGGGTGACAAAGCAAGACCCTGTCTCAAAAAAAAAAAAAAAAAAGAGTTTAGGCTGAGTGCAGTGGCTCACACCTGTAATCCCAGCACTTTGGGAGGCCAAGGTGGGAGGATCACCTGTGGTCAGGAGTTCAGGACCAGCCTGGCCAACATGGTGAAACCCCATCTCCACAAAAATATCAAGAGTAGCTGGGCATGATGGTGCATGCCTATAATCTCAGCTACTTGGGAGGCTGAAATAGGAAAATCACTTGAACCTGGGAAGCAGAGGTTGCAGTGAGCCGAGATAGTGCCATTGGCCTCCAGCCTGGGTGACAGAGTGAGTCTCCATCTCAAAAAAAAAAAGTTTAAAACGAGAAGTTCCCCCTCCTACTTTCTGA